ATGAAGAATAAGGTACCCACACCTTTAGATACCATTTAAATAAACATGCCTCATCAATATGTCGAGTTAAAGTACCATCATCGGGATTGAACCAAATTCTCTGCGAACCTTGCCCGCATAAACGAAGCATATAACGACAGGTGACCTTTAGCTAGACAGTCCGGTTAGGAAATGACGGCTTATGCGCCATCCGGCTCGACTGCTTGCTTTGTCCAGCGAGGTTTCAGGCCAGACACAAGCAGAACCACGTGGGTCCCAGTCGGGAGGGTGTGAGGATAACCCAGCACTCAGTTTGACTGTAATCACTTTGTGACACAGGATAAGTCCAAAACGGTTAGCAACGTAACCACGGATATTTATATCAACATTTGGTAGCATCTTAAGTTTGATAGCCTTCTTTTAGTTGTCCCACATAAACTTGGTCCTCTATAATGAACTGGATGTGAACATTTGGACGAATAAAGGCGCTGATTGACGCTCTGCTAGTAAAGTTCCGGTCGGCCATGTTCTCTGTTGATTTTTTTCAAACATCTAGCCTGTAAACAGTGACAGATAGCTCACTTTGGCATACGGAGAGATACTTGCATTAGACCTATTTGAACTCCATGTGTCTGGCTTCCACAAACACGGATAGCTAAAAAACTACATTGTGAATTGAGGAGCGGACCGCCGAAGAAAACTTGTCAACCCATTTCGGATTTATGATGCAACACCCTAATAACCCCGAGATAGCTCAAGTGATTATGGCGAGCAGTTACCTGCAGTAGGGTCCGTGGTTCGAATCCAACCCCGGTATCTTGACTGCCCCTGTCTAGGCTTGGGCAACCTGGTAGGTTGAATGGAAACGAGGCACTGAAATGGTGTTAAGGTTGAAATATTAGTATTACTATATTTACCTCAATTTGTAACTTTTACAGGGGTCTTCCGACATTAAGTTCATCCCCTCCCTGAAATTTCCACTTAAGCGTGATGAAACCTTCAAACTATTGGACATAGAGGAAGGTGATGTGGTTGATGCCGGTACTATAAAAATCGCACACATACAACTGAAATTGTTCCCTCGTTTCCTTGTGTGTACGGACGGAGCTTGTTAAAAACGAAAGCCAGTGTTCAGCGCAACTCACTGTTGATTGGTACAGGGTAGATAAAATACTACTAAAAGACTTGATCGGATACTGATTTCATCTTCAGCAAGTGCTCATTGCTGAGTGGAAATCATCATAAGTTTTTGTCATGCTCATCCGATCATTTGAACAACAAGGTTGCTTTGGTCTACCCACACGAAAATGATTATGTTCCGACAGGCCGCAGAAAACATTATCTCCACAAGTGGTTTGTTCGGCTTTCCGAGGGGGACCCAACAGTAAAATATTGATAACTAAAGACATTTTTCTCTCTCGTGTCGGTAGACTGATTTGAGTTGAATTTAGAGAGTGAAGCCAGGCGAAGTTTTGAAGGTCAAACTTTGTGAATAACTTTACTGATATGGGTATATCCTGAACATTTCTATTCGATCCGTTTTACAGTGTTCATTTGGTGCATCTCACCTCTGTTAGCAAGGCCCCGTGGCACGACGTTTGATTGTGGCCTTTTTCTAACCTGACCCTGGCGAAATAAAATAGATTTCACATTCCATCTCTGTGGACACTGAGTGGAATACATCACTAACAAGCATACACGTTTCGCTGAATGGTTCATTTAAGTGAACTCCCCACCCTTTCTACCTGGGTTCGAATGGGACAGTGTGTTAGATGCAACGGATCTGAATCGTCTTCACTGTTGAGAGCGTTAATGGGTAAGTTCTTCTTAACATCTTATTTAATGACTGGTTAAAGTAAGAATTAGGGGTGAAGAGCTAGTTACTCCTTAGAGTTCAGACGATGTCGAATCTTAAGGCGAACAAGAATTGCTTTGTTCGCTCATGGAGCGGAGAAAGTAAGGCGAAGTGAAAATCGTACATCCTTTCATCAAACAGAACCCTCTACAGCGAGATCTTTGACACAAGACTGATTGCTTAATCGGAAGCCTAGATTGAAAAGGCATTGTCACCTGACTAGCGAAACTATTCGTCACGAAAAACTGTTAATGCGGCTCTCTGTCTTTCCGGTGGTTAGTCAGTGCGTATAAACGTGTGTCTACAAGATGATCAAAAAAGGGTTGCTTTCAGTTTACATGTATCCGAATTAGTAAACAGATTTTCTGTAACTTCTGAATAGAAGTTGTACGAATTTGGTGACTGAATACGGCTCAGTGCGCTTAATTTTCCGCAAGATAGTCGCTCGTAATTATAACAAGCTGAGTTTTCTAGAGAACCAAGTGAAAATTCAAAACGGCGCCGGGGACGGATGTGAAAATTATCGGAGAATATCATAGCGAATAAAGTTGAGTAGACTGAGCGTTTTGTGGAATAAATGGTTTGGTTGAATTATAATGGGATAAAAATTTTGATACATCGATATATTGAAGTTGTCGCTTAAACTTGGCTTTTGTACATCCTAGAACGATAAGGCTAAACAGAGTTCAGTTACTATGACGAATGTCGTTTGCATCCATAGATTTCTGACAGTTACGGAGCAGTGGGGTCAAAACTGTCGAAAATTTTATCTGTTGGGCGGTTTGGCATTGTCCCATCAACCCAACGGTAGAGTTCGTGTGTTGGGAACTAACTGGTCACAGAAACAGGGGAGTACTACGATCATACTCCTCATTGCATTGCCCAAAACACACCCAAGCCAGAAGGCATCGCTGATTAGGCACCATTCTGAGGACCGATTGCAAACGCATCTACAGACTAAGATTTGTTTTTATATAAATCCATTTGAGCTTAGCCTGTCTAGTGAGAATAACTGATCCTTCCCGAGGACCAATAGGCTCCAGAATGTAAGCTAATCAGCGACGTTGCAGCTAATCCTCTTACGTCACAAACGCCAAGTGACATCGCTCGGATTATTGTACGGTGATCATTTGTGTGGGCACGGGTTATTGTCCTCGAAGCATCTGCCAGATCAAGTTTCCCAGATTCAATTACTAGATCGATGTGAATAAGAACCACGCAGAACTCTTTGACCAAACAGAAACAGAAGAGTATCGGCACCTAGCAAACTGATTTGACTGTTATGGTGAACTGAACAAAGGAGTCGAGGTTTTATGCGCTATTTCCACTTACTCATGATACCGTTCTTGGACAAACACACCCTTTGTTGTTCTCAAACACCAAATCTACTGATATGCACCATCTTTGTTCATCTTTCGCCTAGTCGTCATCCGTGTGTCCTAATTTTGGGGGAAGGTAGCCGCAACGAATTTGTACGAGTCAACAAAAATTACCACTGGCCAATTTGGTCACGGCAGAGGTATGCAAGCCCGGCTGATATGTAGCAGATCGTTCCAACGGCCACAAAAAATCCCCTATCCATTCTAATTTAGGAATGCGAGGCAAGTGGCAAGACGCAAACAGTACTGGCAACTCTTGAATCAAATCATATTTCGGGGGTCAACTATGGGTGAGGCGCACCCGACAGGTTGTTGTCTGGATCAGTACCAGGTGTGAGATTTATGAAATTTTCAACTTCAGTTCCCTGAATTAGGATACCAGGTCCTCAAGCATCAAGATTCACCATGGACCAAAAGCTTTTTCGTCTACGTAGATGACGTTCCGCAGCGAAACAGTTGATCACAGTAGTGGCCCGCCATCTACTTGACCATCCAAGGTTTACGCTGATTAGAGAAGAGGTACCTGACTACGGAGCAAACCGATAAATGAACTGTTTTCTCCTCAATTTGAGGACATGGGTATGTTGGCTAGCTCTAGAAGTAACACGCGTGAAATTAACCGAAATCGCAATCTGTGCAGATCCGGTACTAACTGGCAGCTGTCCGGATCGAATTCGTATCCTGTAGAAACATCGGAGGGTGAACTTATGACCCATGCGAATAACGTGCCTGGCTACCAACAACAGCAATGTACTACCCGGGTGGTTCACAGATCAGTTCTTGCAATTGGTTAGGTCCGGCTACTGGAGGACCGCCGTCTCAACGACTCGGGTTGGAATCACGTGAACGCCCTCAAATTGGTTGCTGTCTTGTATTATTGCGGCCTACTAGTGGGTTCCGGTTCTCAATGCAGTGCAGTGTTTCAAGGTTTTCCAGCACAGACTGGCTTCGCTAACAGGACATGTTTCATCAAAAGTGGTGTGAAAGATTTCTTGATGACTCAATAATGCTCTTGGACGCCGTCCATTCATTTCACATGAAAGTAATGACGAATGGAGGCGGACTTTTGTGCAATAGAGAGTAGTTCATTAATATAGGCGCTGGTGCTAATTTTTCAGTACAAACAGTATTCACAAAAGCTAACTGGAAGCGAACACTTGTCTATCTGACGACTGGATGAGAACACTTCCTGACAAGAAGTGATAGCTGACCGATGAAACGATTTGCTTATATCCCACTTCCCTTTTTGTTCAGTTCACATCCAATCATGGGCTTATTTTTCGAGAGGTTACCACTTCCATTACCAGAAGTACTCCCTCTATCCACACTCACATGATCACAAATCGAATTCCTAACCTTTTTCACATTCGATCCAAATTTCGGTGTTTCTGCGTGCCATTTATACTGAACATAGCATTACGCGCGTGCTATGCTGGTAAATTCTTGCTTGGCACATGTAACCAGTAGAAGCGGCTAATGAACTTTGGTGGAAGCACCATCACAATGGACATCCCGTGCCAAACCTGCATCGTTTTCCACGTCCTGGAAAAGTTTGTCAAATGTGTGAAGAGGATTTACAGATGGTGGTTAGTGAGGACCAAGCTACATTCGGAGTCAACCATCCTTGATATCAAGGATATTACCGAATGCATCGATTCAGTGTTTTGTAGTCCGTGCGGTCATTCCTTTCCTCATGAAGATAGTACAAATGCGGTATCTACAAGACGAACGGTCCTTATGATATATACGGCCTCGAATAAAAAAACACGTCAGAATTGGATCAAAAGACTTGTTGGTAAAGGTCACACACATCTAAACCAAATAGATCACATTGCTTCTGTTTAGGCACAAAAACAGAGCTGGTTGAATAGCTGACGGAGAACAAGGTGCAGAGCGACAAATCAACATATGCACACGCTCTACCAGTAGTCCTGGTTAGAGTACGGTCAGATAACCGTTATGGGTGCCAGCTGTATGGACATCAAAAATGGTACTCTTACACGGGTGAATCTGTTCCTATGCCACATAGAAAAACAGTCGGTTAGGTGACGATATGCACTCGCATCGATGAGAAACTTCGTAGCGTGTACAAAAGTGTGGAAATGCGAAACAGTACGACAGGTACGGTGACTGGCAACCGAATGAGTGCATGACTATTGATCATTGTGGACATAGACAACAAGACTGTCTTAACAGGGTATTTACACAGGGTACTTTGCAAAGGGGACAGACAAAACCAGGCACAAATGCTTCGTGGGACTGAAGACAATTGTTGAGCAATCACAACCAACGAACAGTCGAACGAACGGCAGCGGGATTCAGGTCTGTTAAAAAAATAAACACCTATTGATTACAAAGCCAATGGGTAAGGAATGACTAAGCCCCGATTGAATGACTGAAGCGGGATCTGAGCTGGATTGCGAATGAGTGTGCGCAGCGGGACTAAAGATCACTCAGGCTTGATGTATAGGAAAATATACGTTTTGATGAAATTGGGGAAAGACGAAAGCTTTATTACAGATGAAATCAGCCTTCTTTCCACTTGACTTTGAACTTTACCATTTTACCCGGAACGGGTCGCTTGACAGTCGCCTTCGAGTCAGCCAAGCTGGGCTCAGAAACAGAAGTAGGAAGAGTAGTTGATTGAGAAATTTGGGGTGCAGTGGAGATCGAGGTAATAGGAGGTTGCATTGGCGCTGTCGTGGGTAGTTGCAATTGTTCGGTACTTGAGTAACCAGGACCGACTGAAGATTCGCTGGTGAATGGAGGCGCCATATCAATGGGAATAGAAAGTGCTGCATTCAACCGACTGCCACTTCGACGAACAGGGTGCGTGGCAAGCTGGCTAGCCGGTTCTTGAAAAACAGTTCTCGGTTGAGTTAGTGAAGCAGGAAATTGATGGAGGGAATACCCTACTCCAGTGAATGGGAGTTGAGACGAACTGCTCAGATGACTGTTGGACAGAGTAGCCGAACCAATCGGATGAGAACCGGTGGCATGGTCGCTCTGAATAGTACTTGGCAAGCTATTGCGCAGAAGACTAGGACGATGAAATTGACGGTAGCTAGATGAGTGGATACGGGGCTGTGTGAATTGGCGTTGTTGTGTCCTTAACACACTCTGTGGGTTAGATGGGGGATATCCGCGTCCATTCAAATGGTTTCCACGCGGGAAGTGAGTATACGGTCTATGCGCCATTTGCCAGGCTTTTTGAGAGTGTGGCACATTGGGACCGGGCTTTGCAGACCAGGGTCGTGAAAGACTATTGGTTTTCGAGAGGGTGGATTCAAAACCCGCCGTACGGTTCATCCTGCCCGTCAGGTCAGAAAACCCATCTGAAGATAGAGGTGTCGGGGGTGATGAAAGACATCGTAAAACATCATCAACACATTCTTGGGGTATTAGGGATCCGACGATTCGTTTGCCATCACTAGACTTTAGCCGCACCACTTGCATACATCTTGTGAGACTGGAATATCCTTGCAAAAGTGGTTCGACCTGAGCCCATACATTGAGGACGGAGCCACTGAGTACAAAATAGGTTCGCACCCGAAGGCCGACTTCACAAACCGTTCGCTGCTGCGCCACGCGAGGACAGAAGCCGTGTTGCATAAGATGGATACATCGGGTGGTGCTTGTTTTGAACACGCGATGCCAGGCATCCTGACAATCAGATGGGTTTGGAACACGGGAGTAGCGTTCGAGCAGTTTGTCCAATTCAAGCAGACGGCCCTGCATACCAGTATTCGGACGATAGATGCGGTAGTATTTTGTATCCACTTTTCCGGACGAACGTGCGGAAGCACGCGATTTGACAAACACAGCTAAGATCGGGATGACGATCTTACTGGATGCAGGGTTAGAGGGCAAGTAAAACCCATCATGGGTACCATCATGTTGTGTGTAGATTTCCATGGCCTGTGCCCAAGAAAGCCCGCGCTCTGCCGTGACCTTGTGCAAATGGACTTGGGTCGATTCAGAAAGAAACCACGTATCAAAGCTTTTGGTCCACACAATCTCTAGATTTTGTCCACTTGTTCCCAAGTCCATGATGCCCAAATCAAGTTGATTGTCGCGCTTCGCTCGGCGAACTAGTTCTTCCAATGTGTCAGAGAAGTAACGGAACAGTCCATTTTGAATATGTACACGTAGACCTAAGATACGGTTGAGGAATTTGGACATCTGACCACTGTCTTTGTCTCTAGTACGACCGGCAGCGAGACCCACGCCTTGAAGACTGGCTTTAACATCGACGAAGAAACGATGTGCGTTGGTAGCTAGCGTATTTTGTGGATGTTCTGTAGTGTCCTCTTCGAAGCCGATGTAATCTGTAGGCGGCTCTACAATGCCTTCATCACCATGAATACATGCACGTAAGACAATATCAAGTGCCTCGCGCCCAAGCTTCGTATCGATATTAAATTGTGAGAGATCCCGAGTGTCAGTCGCACGTCGATCACCATGAGTAAGGGCACCTAATGACTCAAGGCGTTTCGCAACGGTGGAAGCGAATCTTTGCTCCCCAGCCAGATCTGATATGAGAAATATATATTTTGGCGCGCTCACCTGGTTTGAACGATGAGTTCTGCCAAACTGCTGAATAGCCCTGTCTGCACTCCAAGGAAGTTCCAGAGTGATGTGAACACGACGGCGTTGATTAACAGCACGGCGATCAGCTTGCAGAGAAATACCACTGCTAGCTGCTTCTGATATGATTGCAATGAGTTTTTCACCGTCCATGAATCGCTGCTTTTCAGTGAGATTCAGGATTTCTAAATTGACGTCGAACTCCCGTCGTGATTCATACGAAACACGGCCATCATCACCCATAACCATTCGTCCCTTACGTCCGGTCATCTCAGCAACACAGGATGGCCCACCTAGTTTGTCAATCAGTTCATCAAGAGAGCTGGGTGGTAGTTTTGACCCAAGTTTCTCGATAAATCGTAAAAGCAAACTTTGCATCTCCCCACATTGCCGCGCAGCCTCCTCGGCAGAAACTCCACGCGTTTCTTCACCTAGGGCTGGCAACGAGGAATCGTCTGCTCGAAAGGAATTTCGACGTAACAGATACTTTTGTGACAATTCTTGCATGGAATCCTCCCCGGCGAAGTCATCAAGAAGGCTGTTGGAATTCATTTTTCGGGATTTATCCGTGCCAGTGCGTACTAATGAATTTTGGCGAGCTAAAAAACTGTCAAAAAGAGCATCTGGATCCCAATCCTCATCGGAATTCTCTGACAATTCGGAAGAGCTCCCCTCATGTCGTTTGCGACGAACAGTTTTGTTTGACTTTTGTAGACCAGTCTTTTTTGTGCGACGTCGAGAAGCGGTGGTACCAGAGTGAGAGGACGTCAGCTCCAAATCAGAATCATAGTAGTCTGAAGATGAAGAATGGTGATGCTTGCCATCTTTAGTCTTCAAAGTCGAAATGCCTTCTGACTCGTCCTCGTCATCAGATTCCTCAGAGCGTTCATCATCATCTTCGTCGTCAGAATCAGGGGACGGCTTATCTCCTGCCTTGGATCCGTTGTATTCATCTTCCACTGTAGAGCCAGATAAACTTCCACCAGATATCAGCCGGGCAAACATTTTGTCGCCAAGAATATCCTTCAATCCTAGACCACTGCCTTGCCCTCCCGCAACAGCACGACCAGCACGATTCAGAGTCGTTGAAGAACTGCGATCACCAGCAGTAGCCAGCTTCTCTCCACGAAGAGAAAAGTTTTCAAGGTTACTTGGAGTTGGGAAATACTTTTCCACAAGAGACTGGAATACGCCCCTAAAAGAAGAAATAGACATTTGAGTGCAGCAAAATTTTTAGGACCGTATTAGTGGTCGTCGAACCCGCTGTATTTTACATGTGGATAAGGGAAATCGATAAAAAACGTGATCATCAGGTGACCAGGCTGGTTGAGATACAGAGGAACAGTCAGAAAGAGTACATTAGTAGTATTGCTACGGTAAAATCTGGCAGTAGGTTTAAGCGACATTGTGCAAAACCAAGTGTCATATATTAATCAAATCAACTGTTCTTTCAATTCATTGAAGCTAAGAGCCGGACAGCGAGTGTATCTTTCTGCACACTCTGATAAATCTCATTTTAAGGTAGCGTACAGTTGGTCATCACGAGCAGCCCAGTAGGCCCAATCAGATTCTCCACTGTGATCACAAAAATCGTTCAGCTGTAACACGCTTTCGGTGCCTAGCAGTCATGCCACCCAGAGGAAGCACGAGAGCTAGGACACTGCCAGGTTGCCCAAGCCTTCCGGTAAGTAAATTCGTGTTCTAACCCCTGAGCCATCTCGCCCAGGATCGCAAAAAAATTAGGAATATTCAATTGTTTGTTCTCAAGTAGTTGGGTTTCCTCCAAAGTTTTCGTAAAGTCATCAATGTCTGGCTGGCAGTTTGGGCCATTCTGAAAATTGCACGGCGAATAACAGTTTGGATCAAAAACTTCACAGCTGGAGCGATCAGTATCTCATTCTACAGAAGCACGTCTCGGTAGACAATGACTCACACAGCTGAGCCACAGCAGGTTATGGTGCTGCATATGCCTCTTGCAGTACAAGCATGTCGATTCATTCAAGTCCAAACCAGTTGCGCACAGAACGAAAACGGGAATACCGGAGATTTGCTGGTAGTCTGTCAAAAGATTTCTTTGAGGGCGGTTAGTGTAAGCATACATACGTGGTGCCCTTAGTTTAAAAATAAGTCGCTCGAATTGAGCATATCAGAGAAGAGTTTGTAGACCTAAGGACATTATGGACAATTTAAGCTGATACTGAACATTCTTCACATAAAGAATTCTTGAGGAGTCCCAAGATGCCAGATATATGAATCACGGAGTACTACGGTTCAAGATAGCCTGGGAGGAGAGGAGTGAGTATTTGACTGAGATTCAAATCCAGCCTTGAATTCTCTGTTGCTCCTATCTACTTTGAGTAGCACGGAAGCTATGCACTGGGAGTGTGTGGGAACAGCAACTCTGCATGTTAACACACGAGCAACGGTTCAGTGTTAAAATTACAAGAAAACAGGATCCGGCAATCAGCGGCGTTAACAGGACAGTAAGAGACGCAACAGACATGTTGACTCTCCATCAAGGATCACAAAGGACTGAGAAGAGGTTGTTAGGTTCAACCGTTTGCTTGGTGCTTAACATCAGAAATACATGGATAAGTATAAAATGATAGTCAGTAATAAGTGACTGACATTCTTGTATCCGATTAATACACCGTGGGTTTTCTTCCCCTTGTCTTACAGGAAAACCGGTAATAAAAAACGTCCATGTTACCTCTAAAACCCCACTCAAAAGCAGTCACAACCTTACTTGGTTGTAGATACGAAATCTCCGAGATCCGGGCCTATTTCCTCCACTTGTTCTAGGGTTTTTGCTTCACCTGTCGACTGTAGGCCGATCACAACACACTAGGGAATAAGGAGAAAGGCAATAAACCCAAAAAGTACGGAAGTGAACAGTAAAACTCCAGATGAATAATTCAATTTACACAAAAAACAGGACAGGCGAAAAGTAACATCCCTGAGGGGCAGGCGCTTTACTCAAATGGTCTTGTCATCCCCACCGACATAGACACACCAGTGGGAAATATTGATGTCCAACTGCCATATACTGTATAGGGGAGGAACCTTCGGTGATGAGTGGAAACGAGGAGTTGAGTTAGTGTCCCTGGAGCTAACGATGCAAAATAAGGCGCCTTACCTTCGAATGGTACTGAAATAAACATATCAAGGCAGCACGCCGTGATAAGACGCCAGAAGCAAAGATCTTCGAATCTCATACAAACAAACACAGAAACTCAGCCAGCTAGTCCCACTAAGATGTGATAACATGGTCAACATTAAGAAGAGATGCACTCAGTGCAGTTCTTCGGTTATAAACCTGGGCAGCTGTATCAGTCCCGGTGGTCTGGCGAACGATGAAATTACCATCCGTATTGGGAAGGCCAGAGCAGCTTTTGCGAACCTACGTCACCTGTGGCGTAGGCGTGACATCAGTTTCTCTGTCAAGG